CTTCTAATTTCTAGCCGTACATAAACTTTCTCAAACTCTTAATTTAAAATAAACTTATCCGTTACTGGGCTCTAAAAAAAGTCAGGATGGCCGATCGGTCTAAGGCTCTGCGTTCAGGTCGCAGTCCACTGTTGTTGGCGTTTTTTCGAATCTCACTTCTGACATTAAAACAAAATTTTATTTTCATTCTAGACGTACATAATCTTTCTTTAAGTCTGAATTTAAACTACACTTATGAGTTTCGGGCCGCAGCATGATGTCAGGATGGCCGAGCGGTCTAAGGCGCTGCGTTCAGGTCGCAGTCCACTTTTGTGGGCGTGGGTTCGAATCCCACTTCTGACATGAATATGAAATGTTGTTTTCTTCCTAATTTCTAGCCGTACATAATCTTTCTCACTCGGCATTTAAAATAAACTTATATGTTTCTGGATTCTACAAGAAGTCAGGATGGCCGAGCATTCTAAGGCGCTGCGTTCAGGTCGCAGTCCACTCTTGTGTGCGTTTATGCGAATCCCACTTCTGACACGAATCTGAAATTTTGTTTTCCTTCTAATTTCTAGCCGTACATAATCATTCTCAAACTCTCCATTTAAAATAAACTTATCCGTTACTGGGCTCTTAAAGATGTCAGAACGGCCGAGCTGTCTAAGGTGTTGCGTTCAATTCACAGTCCACTCTTGAGGGAGTGGGTTCGAATCCCACTTCCGACATTAAAACAAAATTTTATTTTTATTCGAGACGTACATAATCTTTCTTAATGTCTGAATTTAAACTACACTTATGAGTTTCGGGCCGCAGCATGAAGTCAGGATGGCCGAGCGGTCTAATGCGCTGCGTTCAGGTCGCAGTCCACTCTTGTGGGCGTGGTTTCGAATCCCATTTCTGACATTAAAGCAAAATTTTATTTTCATTCTACTCGTACATAATCGTTCTAAAAATCTGAATTTAAACTACACTTATGAGTTTCGGGCTGCAGCATGGAGTCAGGATGTCGATCAGTCATCTGTAATAAACATTGCTAGAAACATCGCCGTACTCATCGAACATCGGTGCCAACATCTCGGCTCTCTCTGCTGACTAAGCCAAACATCGTCGACTAGGCTGTCGATTCTACCTCATCTTTCCGGAGTTTCCTTGGTGCGTGTTCTTAATATCATCTTCCTAGATACTTTTCCGATCTGCCAGTGCCTTGCGGACTTGGATATTGACTTTTATTGTGAACTATCTCTTTTATTCGGTTACATCGGATTGATTTTGCTTTCCCCTGGATTTCCTATATAGACTTTTGACTGCCATCGAGATCTTCTCCTTCTTGCATTCCTGTGCACAGTATGCTCCATTGCCTGGTGATTTGTGTGAGTTTGATACTGACATTTTATTGAGAATCTGTTCTAGTGTATTTTAGTTGTGTGATATTGCTTTTACTTGCTTTTTTTATAGTGTGGTGTTGAGTGAATGAGTGTTTTAATATAGCTTCTTAGTATTTTATTCTGTTTGTACCTGTGATTTTATCTAAATTGACTAAATTGTAATATTTTTAGGATTTTACTGCTTTTGCCTTTATGTTAGCTCCCTTTCTTTAGAATTGATTGATATGGGAGATAAAACCAGGAAGAAAGGTGAGTGGAATGGAGCGACTTCGGTTGCATTAAATTCTTCGGAAATTCCGAATGATTTAAAGAAACTTATTGACAATTTAGACCCGGAGGATTTTTGCGGGGATACCTTGGTGAAGGTTAGAGATCTTCTTAAAGAACTAGATAAATTCTCGACTGCCTCAATATAGACCAAACTCACTTATGGTAAAAAATTGAGAAACAAAAACACATTGGAGTATTTGGATGCACTAGTTAACATTATTAAGGACCTCTGTGACGAGATTAGGACCAGAGATGCGAACATTTTTGACCTTCAAAATTGTCTCACCGACTGTGATCTCTCCCTCATGAGAGCCAAAATTTGGTCTCTCGAGAGGGAGAAAGCAGTTTTGCAAGCTAAACTAGATCTTCAATCTGAGTTCTCCTCCTCCTTTAAGGAATTATTACCTAAAATCGATGGCTTAAAGGAAATCAATAATCAAAACTTAAATATCCGGGAGGAAATTCCCAAGATACTGAAGCTGGAAAGAGAAGCTGCATGTAGTGATTTTAAAGAAGTTATGGGTAAGGCTAATACTGAACTCGTAGAGGAGGTGAAAAGGAACATTAATTTAACCAAATCCTTTGCCCAGGTGGCCCAATCGTCTAGGGATCTACTACCATCTGAACGATCCACTAGACCACCTCCTGTTTTGAACCCAGAAGGCATCATCTTAGTCAAACCCAAAAATGAAAATGTAGACAATTTCGAGACAAACAAGAAACTAATCACAGGGCTTCTTAGAAAGAAAGACCCCGCCATAAGACTTCGATCTATTGGTAAAATCCATGGCGGGGGCTTGAAACTAGTTTCGGCGTCATTAGATGATGCCAAGGTTATTAAAGATCTTCTTTGTGACACTGAGGATAATGATTTGCTTTCTAGTTTCGAATTCTCGATTCCACCGCTGAGGTCCCCCCATATCATAGTCTATAATGTTGACAAAAAGGTGGAACCAGATGTTTTTAAGAAGGGTCTCTTAGCGAAGAATCTATTCCTGGCTGATGCAAACAATACTCCTAAATTTAAAGTAGAATTCAATATCCCAGCCAGGAATAAGGAACTCGTTCATTGGATTTTAACTATAAACCCCAAAAATTTTCACGAAATAATGGATAAGGAAGGCTTATACTTTGAATTTTCCCGTCTGAGATTTTCGGAGTTCATTGGCATAAAGCAGCGCAAGAAATGTTTTCTATTCGGTCACACGACCAAACAGTGTAGGGAGGAGACTCCCCGAAAATGCGATAATTGTGGAGAGAACTGGAGTGAAAAACATAGATGTAAGAAGAGACAGTGTATCATTTGCACTGTCTCAAACACTAAGTATAAAACAACCCACGGAACTAACCATAATTGCCTCGACCCCATGTGTAAAGCGTATCTTAAACAGAAAGAATTTATAAGGAAAAGAACCGACTATGGCCCTTAATTCTTATACGTGGTTTGCAAATTAACGTCAACCATTGCGAGGCGGCTCACACGGGGGTCTTCCAGGTCGCATGGGATCTCAAACTTGATTTCATAGCTATTCAGGACCCCTATCTAGTTAAGGGTGAACCCCCAAGGGCAAATTTCGGTTGCAAAGTTTTTATGTCTCAAAGCAGGAAGGCCATTTTATATATTTTAAATAAGAACTTTAATGTTTTTTTTAAGTTCAACACCACCAATACGGTGGTTGTTGAACTTCATTTTAATAACTTTCTTTTAAACATTTTTAATTGCTATTTTCCACCCAACGATGATATTGAAGATTTATTAAATGAATGGGGTGGTTTTAACTTTCTTAATAGTCTTAATTTGTTAATTGGTGATTTTAACTGTAGATCGAGTAGCTGGGGCTATGACTCCGACAATTATAGAGGTAGAAAATTTATGGAGTTCATAGCCTCCAGCAACCTGCACGTTTGCAACATATCTGAATATGGTCCTACATTTCAATCCACTATAAACGTGGGGTTCCCCGATCTCACACTTATCAGCTCATCTATTGCAAATTATGTTAAAAATTGGGGGGTCCTTGACACTGAGACCCATAGCGACCATAAATACATTTATTTTAATTTAGAAATTTTTAATTAGAAATATTCCAGAAACTGATTTTTATTTTAAATCTAAATATGGCCAAAACAAATTTATGAAGTATATTAAAAGACACCTTGGCCCATTGAGGGAAAAACTTAAGTTTGCAAATAATACTGTACATTTGAATGATTTATTTAATGTATTGACCTCAATGGTGCAGAAGGGTGCCTTTAAGACTTTAAAGAAAAAGCCTAAAAAACTTGCGAAAAAGTTCAGTTTCTGGAATGAAGACCTCCGTTTAACTAGAAATAAAGTCAATAAGCTTTTTAAGATCTATCGTAAACACAAAGCCGAAAACTCGAATGTTGACTTAATCCAGAGCTCGGGTAATGCCTATAGGAGGGAGCGGGCCGTTTTTAAAAAACTTTTATTGAAAACTAAAAGGAAGGCTTGGGAGGATTTCTGTGTCAATTATAACGATCGATATGGGTCCCTGTTCAAACTTGCTTTTAACAAGAGCACTGGTGAAAATTCTATTGGGGTCAGCCCCAATAATGACCCCAACAATTCCATTGTGGACAGGATCACCCATATCATGGACTTTTTCTTCCCGGGCAAATCTCCAGATGACAACTTTGTTTTTAATCCCATTGTCGGCCCGATTAGCTCCCTCACTATTGAAGATCTTGAAATTACTTTTGGTAACCTGAAAGGTGGGAAGGCCCCGGGCCTGGATAGAATCGATTATAGGATGTGGCGAGCAGTTTTTATTACTGATAAGATTTTTATGCTGGATCTTTTTAATCGCTGTTTCATTCTTAACTATTTTCCAAGATGTTTGAGGAACGCCAGGGTCTTCTTCCTACTAAAAGACGGGAAGGACCCTGGCTTGTGTAATTCGTACCGACCGGTTTGCCTCTTACCTACCTTAGGCAAAGTTGTCGAGAGGCTGTTTTTAATTAAATTAAACGGATGGCTGGATCAACATAATATTATTCATGACAATCAATACGGCTTCCGTGAGGGCAGGAGCTGTGATCTAGCCATCCATACTTTAGTTGAGACAATGAAATTTAAAATGAATACTGATAACCTCGCCCTCGTCTCATTAGACATTAAGTCGGCCTTCGACAACATGAACTGGTCGGTACTTTTTAAAATTTTTAATGATATTGGCTTGCCTAGTTTTTATAGGAATTTTATTTTTTACTACCTCTGTGATCGAACTGTTTTATATATTAATGACGTTTGTGAAACCACTAGACATTGTTTTAAGGGTTGTCCGCAGGGGTCAGTGATCGCACCTGTTATTTGGAATATTTATATCAATACTATTTTATGCAATAACAATACTACTTTTTATACTCAAGCCTTTGCCGACGACCTGGCACTTGTGGTCAGTGGTAGGAGGGCTAGAGATCTGGAAAGTAATACCAACTCAGCCCTCGAACAAATCGCCCTCAACCTATCCGACTTCAAGCTGAAACTTTCTGCAGAGAAGTGCCAGGCGTTGGTTGTTCGAAGCATTAGTTCATACAAGTTTTCTAAAAGAAACTACACGGTCCTGAACAGGAAACCCACTCTTAAAATAAATGGTTATTCCATAAAAATTTCGGATAGTTTAAAAATTCTGGGGATAGTTCTAGACAACAAGTTCACATGGTCTCCCCACATTTTATCGCTACACAATAAAGCATTGTTTTTAACTTGTAATTTTAACCGTATTGTCAAAGCTAAGTGGAGTCTCAACAAAAATCTAATCAAGTTTTGGTATTCTACAGTAATTGAAAAGGTCCTGCTCTATGGCGCTAGTGTCTGGGGTGGGGCCCTCACCAAACAACAAGTTGATCGACTCCACTCGATACAACGAATCTTTTTACTCAAATCTACTCGGGCTTATAGAACTACATCAACAAATGTTCTAAACACCCTGACTGGGATTCCCCCCTTGCACGTGGTCGCCAAAACCGAATTTATCAAGTTTCGGATCTGGGCTGGACACGCCAATTTTTATACTGATATTTTGGGCAACATACAACTGGACAAT